AGGTATCAAAATGGAAACTAACTAAATGTGTACTTTTTCTTCCAGGAGAAAGGGGGGAGTGATTCTCTTTTCTTTGAAATATTTTCTGAGACTATAAATAAGGCCTGGCCATTTTTTGTTTGTTTATTGTTTTACTATATGGTGTTCAAATAACCACAAACAAATCACTTAGTATGAAATGTTAGCTGTATAGGATTTTTATTTGTATTTTAGTTTTTTTCACGGGATGGAAGTGAAATATCTTAAAGGGGCAAACACATGTAATTTGGGCTTTTATTTACTGAGGGATAAGTAAATACGTGTGATTTATTTTGAAAAGAGCTGTACTAAAGACATACTGTACACTTGGGATACAACATTTATGAAATGTTTTGACGGTTGTTAATGAGTAGTATACTATTTGATGGAACAATTAATTGAATGATTTCAATGACCTCTGCAATCTGTCCTGGCTTTATGGTGTGGCCTGATCACCCACACTGTAAATCTTGGAGGCATGCTGAATTGGGGGTTGATTATAATAAGGAATTGTAAAGAAGTATATCATTTGGCATTAATCCTATATATCATCCCAAACAGGACAAAGATGAAGTGAGAGAGTTAGTCTTGAAGGAGAGATATCCTTGAATAATGTTATCGAATGCAATTGGGTTAAAATATCATCAAGGGTTGTCATTTTAAGTTCAGTTATTATTTTTGGTTTAACAAGCAGGGGGGAAGGTGTTAACAATTTTAATGTTTTTTGGGCTTACATGGGTTTTACAGGGGTTTTAATGGTTTTTGGGCTTACAGGGGTTTTAATGGTTATTAATGTTTTTAATGTTTTTGTGGTAAAATATGCAAATTGTATTAAGGATATGAGCAGTAGTAATAATGTGTTAAGGGTTAGGTTAAATCTTTTTGTTTTTGTGATAGGAGGCAGGGTGTAGAGGAGGTCTGTCTATGAAATGAGTGGACTACAACGAGCTGGAAGGAGGTGCACTTCATAATCTCAAGGCTTCTCCTGACGGATGAGAGGACATAAGTAGCATACTGTGTCTCCCCTAACCTAACAATGTTCTTAAGATTTTTTTCCCATAGGTGAAGGGAACTCTGCCCAACGGAGGATTTGGAACTACTGTTAATTATTTTAAAGGAGACGAAGTGCAGATTAGACCGTTTTATTTCTTTAATATTAATGTAGTATATTGTGCCCATCTATACCAGTCATTGTTTATCCCACTGGCTATAAGGTGAATGCACCAATTTGTAAGTCGCTCTGGATAAGAGCGTCTGCTAAATGACGTAAATGTAAATGTAAAGATCAGTCAGTGGCAATTGCAGATTTCTTCTGGGTATGTCAGGGACAACTTAGGACAGTATTACCAAAAGGATGGAAAGGGCTTTGTGCAAGGGTACAGTTAATACAAAAAGTTGTAATAGTTGACTGGAATGCTTTAAAGGTTGATAATCAAGATACTCAAATACACAGATCCAAAAGGGCATATGAAGCCGATCCTAACGTACAGATAGATGTTATAGGCCAGCCTAGAGGAATTCCCAATGAATTGCAAGCTAGGAGTGAAATTAAATCAGGATTTGAATCAATACTCCTTTTGGATAACTCCTAATAAAAATTTGGAATGGATCAATTATATATATTACAATCAACAAAGGTTCATAAATTATACTGATTCAGCATTATCTGCGCTGGGAGAACAAGTGCAGGCAACAAGTAGAATGACTTGGCAAAATAGACAGGCTTTAGATTGGCTCTTAGCCGAAAACGGAGGAGTCTGTGTTATGTTTGGAAGCGAGTGCTGTACGTTTATTCCAAATAATACTGCCCCAGGAGGAACATTTTCTGAAGCAATGATCAAGCTTAAAGGATTGAGACAGGAAGTCAAGAACAAGCTGGGCAGGATGCACGTGATTGGGATAGGTTTGACTTAACTCTTGGAAAATGGGGAGCAATGTTTACTAAAATGGCAATGATGATAGGTATAGCACTGATAGTAATGGGAATAGTCTTTTGTTGTGTGTTGCCATTATTGAAATTCCTTTTAATCAAAACAATTGTAAAACAAAAGACTGTGAGAAAGATGGCTATAAGGACCAAACGGAATGGGACATGAAATTGACAGAGGTGATTCCTATTCCAGGGAAACCAGGACATGATATGAATTCTAACAGGAAACCTTGCAACATCAAAGGAGGGCCACTTGACTGTCCTTATGGAAACCCAGAATGTGTATATGGTGTAGTGGCAGGAGGAGGATGGGCTTGTCATGGCTACAAGGAGCAGCGAGACTTGGGCAAATCTGGAAGTGAAGATTATAATCTCTCTGATTTGTATCCCATTCCATATTATTTTAGTGATGATAATGACACTAAATAATATCAAAATGACTGTTTTAAATAGGGATCATGATTAAAACAAGTTTGTATGTATTTTATGTATTTTCATGTGTTAGGATACTAACCCTTATAATGGAATTATTTTGAGTAGAAATAGTGATATTTTTATCATGAGTATAACCTTGAATGCAAAGATTGTGATTGATAGCATAAACATGATATACTTTTGTAAATTTATGGGATTAGTAATCCCATTAGGAGGGATATGATGTGTATTCTTTAATGAATTAGGAGATAGAACTGGGTTAATCACGAACATTGAGTTAGAATTGTTTGTTACTGGGCTAGGAATTTAATTGGGGCATTTCACTGTGTGTGTGTGAGGGAGTAGAGAGGAAATCTGCCCTAGGGTCAAATTGCTTGCTCTTACTTAAATCCATGGCTGTCTTATCTGATGAGAGACTGAAACTAGCTTGTGGCTTTTGTCTCTCTCTTCAAACACAGTGAAGGGAGCGGCACCAGGGTTGAATAGAGTTTGGGCTAGACCTTTGTCTCCTTGGTATCTTCTTGATTGATTACAGCATGAGGGGTGAGGTTTGTGTATGACTCAAGAATTTAGGGCCTTGTCATGTTTAAACTAAACATGAGTCTGTGTGCAAGACAGGGGAGCGAGTGATTGGTTGGAGTAATAGTTCAGCCGTCCTCAGGGACAAAGGAAGTGGGTGTGGAGTGATAAAGAGCGGGAAACTGAAGAGGGAGGGATTTAGAGCTAGAAGAGTTGGGGATGATGGTATATAATGTGACTTGAGGAAAACAGAACGGGATGCCACTCTGCAGACTGGTATCGGCTTTGTTGAAAACTTTAATAAAGTCATTTCTTGATGTAACAAAAACTCTGTAAAACCGTATTTGTAATAAAGTATAGTGGTTATTTTCCACAACAATTGTAAGGCTGATTTCTACGCCAAACTTAGTGATGTAAAAAAACACATGACAACTCAAAAACATACTCAAAAGGCACAGCCTTATAACAGTTCCACCCAAAACAAGCTGCCATTTATGGTTAAGAAAATTGACTCTGCAAAAAAGGCTGAGGCCACCATGGCATTAGCTATCGCTGAACACTGTCCCATGCTGGCATGTGATCACATTGGAGAAGCATGTAGAGCTGCTTTCTCAGACGAAGTGCACAGAAATGATTAATGGTGTTCTAGCACCATACTTTCTGAAAAGGTTGGTCGCAGATGTGGGTGACCAGCGTTTCAGCCTCCTCCTCGATGAGTCCACGGATGTATGTGTTTCTAAGTACCTGGGGGTTGTTATAAGGTACTTTAGTGACACCAAGCAAACAATTGTATCAACATTTCTGGGGCTTGTTGAGTTGGAGGGAGGAGATGCCAAATCTATAGCCCGTGCTGTTGTGGCTTTCCTCGAGAAGTGTTGTCTTAAAAAAGAGAAACTCCTGGGGATAGGGACTGACAATGCCTCTGTTATGACGGGGATTAATAATGGGGTCCATAAAGTGCTGAAGGAGGAGTATGGCCTCAAAGATCTGGTTCTTATTCGCTGTGTGTGCCACTCTCTGCAGCTTGCTCTAAGTCATGCTTCCAATGACACCATCCCCCGTAGTGTGGAGTACTTGGTATGAGAGACATATAATTGGTTTTCAGTGTCTCCAAAGGCCATATATGAGACCATCAACTGTGGGGAGAAACCTTTACAGATAACCAAGGTGTGTGCCACACGTTGGCTCTCCATTGAACCCGCAGTTTTACACATTTTGGACCAGTGGGAGGAGCTTAGGCTGCATTTCGCAGTCACCAAGTCCAGTGAACACTGCTACATGGCTGAGGTTTTATACTCCATGTACAGTGATCCTCAAAACATATTGTATCTGACTTTTTTGAAGTCCGTGCTGGGTGAGGTACAGTTGGGTGAGGTACTTTTTTTTTTTCATACCCCCTGTGGGAAACAAACCCACAACCCTGGCGTTGCAAACACCATGCTCTATCAACTGAGCTACATCCCTGCCGGCCATTCCCTCCCCTACCCTGGACGACACTGGGCCAATTGCGCGCCGCCCCATGGGTCTCCCGGTCACGGCCGGCTACGACAGAGCCTGGATTCGAACCAGGATCTCTAGTGGCACAGCTAGCACTGTGATGCAGTGCCTTAGACCACTGCGCCACAAGTGATATTTGTTTCAGTAAGATTGGATTTTTAGCATTTATAGCAATGGTTATTAATTGTACTGCAGGGATGGAACGCTCGTCGAAGAAAATTGAGGTTGTGGTGGCAGCTGCAGAGAGGTATTTGGGTGTGCAAGACTTGACATCAGAAGAGTTACAGGGAGTGTTAAGGGGTGATGTCCCATCATTTCAGGTTAAGGGCATGAGGTAGGAGTGAATATATTTAAATAGTGGAGTAGGGTGGTGTTAATTATTAATAATATTTTAGAATTTGTGAGTGTAGTGTTAGATTGTAGGGTATTTCTTTATTGTATTTTTCAAGCAAAATATAAGGGAGTTGTACTCCAGTCTAGTAGGTGGCGGTAATGCAACAAATTGGATGCCAACCGCCGTTAAACCTCATCGAAGAAGAAGTAGAAGAAGAAGAAGAAAAACGTACTGAACGGAACGCAGCGCAGGGAGCGGTGTGTTCGGAGTAGATGGCGGTGGTGGCGGGTAGCGGATCGCAGAACTGGCCGGTGGAGAGGAGGGGATAACGGAGGTTCTTCAATCCGAAAGTTGTGAGATCGACAATGAACTTCAACAAGACTTGACCAGATTACATTCGCTAAATGATTTGAAGCTCTCCGGTTTTGATTTCTTTGTCAAGCAGGCAGCTAGGTTAGTTTGTAGGCCTCAAGCCTCGGGATAAAGTTGTCGTCTGATCCTGGGATTGGGAATCCAAGAAGGGACTGGCGTGAGAGATCTACCTCGGACAATTGGGAATCCCTGTTCGGAAACTATTGGGGATCGATGCTTGGAAGAACTAGCTAGTGGTATATGAGTGGAGTCGTTTTTTAATTGTTTAAACGGCAGCTCCGGAGGCGTTGATGCATATTGGCAAAGTTAAAGGGACTAGCTAACTAGTTAATCGCCCCTACAGACAATGTCCCATTGCTGCTAGCTTGCTGGCTAGCTGATTTTGCTAGCAAAGGAATGGATGAATGGGCAACCGCTTGTAATGCTCGGATTTAAACAGCTGGTTAATGACCTCAGTGTTAGAAATCATTTGTGTAGTTAGTTAGCAACTGTGTAAATAATAGAGCATACTAGAACAAACATCGATTTTTATTTTGCTGTACAGCCAGAAATCTGATTCATGGTGCGGACGGAGCACACACTCAGATGGACAGGAGTGCAATTTATTGACATTACTGGTCAGCAATTTAGTTTATAATTTAAGTGTTTCTCTCATCTGTTTTCATTATCGACTTGTTTTTTTAGAATCATAGGACAGAGCTGAATCATAGGCTTATGTAATGTAGTTGTATGTAGCTGTAAAGCTAGCTTTCTGGCATCCTTGATTTGAAGGAATTTTGCACTACTTAAATAGTGTTGAGGTTATCCCTGGTTTGGAATGGGGAATACGGTATCATGCTGCGTGTCGCCCGAGGGGAGCCCAAAGCTACCAAGGCAACCGGCGGACCGCCATGAAGACTACCAAATAATCACGGACGTGAGTGATGACACCGGCCCGTACCTGCAGCACATCAGCGACAGAGAGGTGCCAGACGGTAGGTGTCACACCCGCCCGCATAGCTGGGATTGGAAAATATTTACAGAATGTCACTGACTGTGGTTACTAGAAAAACAGAACTGGTAGGGGTATTTGATCCCCTGCTGATTTTGTACGTTTGCCCACTGACAAAAACATGATCAGTCTATAATTTTAATGGTAGGTTTATTTGAACAGTGAGAGACAGAATAACAACAAAAAAATCCAGAAAAACGCATGTCAAATGTTATAAATTGATTTGCATTTCAATGAGGGAAATAAGTATTTGACCCCTCTGCAAAACATGACTTAGTACTTGGTGGCAAAACCCTTGTTGGCAATCACAGAGGTCAGACGTTTCTTGTAGTTGGCCACCAGGTTTGCACACATCTCAGGAGGGATTTTGTCCCACTCCTCTTTGCAGATCTTCTCCAAGTCATTAAGGTTTCGAGCCTGACGTTTGGCAACTCGAACCTTCAGCTCCCTCCACAGATTTTCTATGGGATTAAGGTCTGGAGACTGGCTAGGCCACTCCAGGACCTTAATGTGCTTCTTCTTGAGCCACTCATCTGTTGCCTTGGCCGTGTGTTTTGGGTCATTGTCATGCTGGAATACCCATCCACGACCCATTTTCAATGCCCTGGCTGAGGGAAGGAGGTTCTCACCCATGATTTGACGGTACATGGCCCCGTCCATCGTCCCTTTGATGCGGTGAAGTTGTCCTGTCCCCTTAGCAGAAAAACACACCCAAAGCATAATGTTTCCACCTCCATGTTTGACGGTGGGGATGGTGTTCTTGGGGTCATAGGCAGCGTTCCTCCTCCTCCAAACACGGCGAGTTGAGTTGATGCCAAAGACCTCGATTTTGGTCTCATCTGACCACAACACTTTCACCTAGTTCTCCTCTGAATCATTCAGATGTTCATTGGCAAACTTCAGACGGGCATGTATATGTGCTTTCTTGAGCAGGGGGACCTTGCGGGCACTGCAGGATTTCAGTCCTTCACGGCGTAGTGTGTTACCAATTGTTTTCTTGATGACTATGGTCCCAGCTGCCTTGAGATCATTGACACGATCCTCCAGTGTAGTTCTGGGCTGATTCCTCACCGTTCTCATGATCATTGCAACTCCACGAGGTGAGATCTTGCATGGAGCCCCAGGCCGAGGGAGATTGACAGTTCTTTTGTGTTTCTTCCATTTGCGAATAATCGCACCAACTGTTGTCACCTTCTCACCAAGCTGCTTGGCGATGGTCTTGTAGCCCATTCCAGCCTTGTGTAGGTCTACAATCTTGTCCCTGACATCCTTGGAGAGCTCTTTGGTCTTGGCCATGGTGGAGAGTTTGGAATCTGATTGATTGATTGCTTCTGTGGACAGGTGTCTTTATACAGGTAACAAGCTGAGATTAGGAGCACTCCCTTTAAGAGTGTGCTCCTAATCTCAGCTCGTTACCTGTATAAAAGACAACTGGGAGCCCAACATTTTTCTGATTAAGAGGGGGTCAAATACTTATTTCCCTCATTAAAATGCAAATCAATTTATAACATTTTTTACATGTGTTTTTCTGGATTTTTTTGTTGTTATTCTGTCTCTCACTGTTCAAATAAACCTACCATTAAAATTATAGACTGATCATTTCTTTGTCAGTGGGAAAACGTACAAAATCAGCAGGGGATCAAATACTTTTTTCCCTCACTGTACATAATCCATTTAGTATTTTTATCACACCATTTCTCAGGCACCACCCTCTCAGAGGCCTGTAGCCAATGAAATTACATGCACATAAAGTTAGGTGAGATGAGGCTGCCAATTGGGAAGGAGGGATATTTGATCCACAGCCCCCTGGTGTCCCTCCCTTCCCTCCCAGCAGGGTTTGATGTTGCTGGTTGTTCACAGCTTTTTATTACTATTGATTGTAGGCCCTGTATGGTGTTGCACCCTTGGGGTAAAGCCACACACACACACTTCCTGCTGCTGCAACACCAGTGACACAAGCCTACCAGATGAGCTAAAGCAACACTGAAGCATGCATGAGAGCGTCAGCTGTTCTGGATGACTATGTGATCGCGCTCTCTGTAGCCGATGTAAGACTTTTAAGCAGGTCAAAATTCACAAGGCCGCAGGGCCAGACGGATTACCAGGACGTGTACTCCGAGCATGCGCTTTCCAACTGGCAAGTGTCTTCACTGACATTTTCAACATGTCCCTGACTGAGTCTGTAATACCAACATGTTTCTAGCAGACCACCATAGTCCATGTGCCCAAGAACACTAAGATAACCTGTCTAAATGACTACCGACCCGTAGCACTCACGTCTGTAGCCATAAAGTGCTTTGAGAGGCTGGTCATGGCTCACATCAACACCATTATCCCATAACCCTAGACCCACTCAATTTGCATACCGCCCCAACAGATCCACAGATGATGCAATCTCTTTTGCTCTCCACACTGCCCTTTCCCACCTGGACAAAAGGAACACCTACGTGAGAATGCTATTCATTGACTACAGCTCAGTGTTCAACACCATAGTACCCTCAAAGCTCATCACTAAGCTAAGGACCCTGGGACTAAACACCTCCCTCTGCAACTGGATCCTGGACTTCCTGACGGGCCGCCCCCAGGTGGTAAGGGTAGGTAACAACACATCTGCCACACTGATCCTCAACACGGGGGCCCCTCAGTGGTGCGTGCTCAGTCCCCTCCTGTACTCCCTGTTCACCCATGACTGCATGGCCAGGCACGACTCCAATACCATCATTAAGTTTGCAGACGACACAACAGTGGTAGGCCTGATCACCGACAACGATGAGACAGCCTGTAGGGAGGAGGTCAGAGACCTGGCCGTGTGGTGCCAGGATAACAACCTCTCCCTCAAGATCAAGACAAAGGAGATGATTGTGGACTACAGGGGATAAAAGTGGAATGAGCATGCCCCCATTCTCATCGACAGGGCTGTAGTGGAACAGGTTGAGAGCTTAAAGTTCCTTGGTGTCCACATCACCAACAAAGTAACATGGTCAAAACACACCAAGACAGTCGTGAAGAGGGCACGACAAAGCCTATTCCCCCTCAGGAGACTGAAAAGATTTGGCATGGGTCCTCAGTACAGAAGGTAGTGCGTACGGCCCAGTACATCACTGGGGCCAAGCTTCCTGCCATCCAGGACCTCTATACCAGGTGGTGTCAGACTCCAGCCACCCTAGTCATAGACTGTTCTCTCTGCTACCGCACGGCAAGCGGTACCGGAGTACCAAGTCTAGGTCCAAAAGGCTTCTTAACAATTTCTACCCCCAAGCCATAAGACTCCTGAACAGCTAATCATGGCTACCCAGACTATTTGCATTGCCACCCCACCCCCACCCACTATTTTACGCTGCTGCTACTCTGTTTATTATCTATACATAGTCACTTTAACTCTACCCACATGTACATATTACCTCAATTACCTCGACTAACCGTCTTACATTGGACGCCAAGCAGTTGCCATACCAAGCGGTGATGCAGCCAGTCAAGATGCTCTCAATGGTGCGGTTATAGAAACTTTTGAGGATCTGGGGACCCATGCCAAAGAAAATTCAGCCTCCTGATGGGAAAGAGGCCTCCTGTAGCTCAGTTGGTAGAGCATGGCGCTTGCAACGCCAGGGTTGTGGGAAATGTATGCACTCGCTAACTGTAAGTCGCTCTGGATAAGAGCGTCTGCTAAATGACTCAAATGTCAAATTTAAATGAAGAGGCGTTGTCGTGCCCTCTTCAAATCAAATTTGATTGGTTGCATACACATATTTCGCAGATGTTATTGCGAGTGTAGCGAAATGCTTGTGTTCCTAGCTCCAGCAGTGCAGTAATATCTAACCATTCACAACGAGACAAGACGACTGTTGGTGTGTTTGGACTATGATAGGTCCTTGGTGATGTGGACACCGGGGAGCTTGACGCTCTCGACCCGCTCCACTACAGCCCCGTTGATGTGAATTGGAGCGCGCTCGGCCCTCCGTTTCCTGTAGCCCACAATCCTTTTTGTCTTGCTGAAGTTGAGGGAGAGGTTGTTGCCAGGTCTCTGACCTCCTCCCTACAGGCTGTCTCATTGTTGGTGATCAGGCCTACCACCGTTGTGTCGTCGGCAAACTTAATGATTGTGTTGGAGTCGTGCACGGCCGCGCGGTCGTGGTTGAACAGGGAGTACAGGAGGGGATTAAGCACTCACGCCTGAGGGGCCCCATGTTGAAGGTCAGCGTGGCGGATGTGTTGTTGCCTACCCTCACCACCTGGGGGCGCCCGTCAGGAAGTCCAGGATCCAGTTGCAGAGGGAGGTTTTCATTCCCAGCTTAGTGATGAGCTTGGAGGGCACTATGGTGTTGAACGCTGAGTTGTAGTCAGTAAACAGCATTCTCACATAGGTGTTCCTTTTGTCCAGGTGGGAAAGGGCGTGTGGAGTGCAATAGAGTTTGCGTGGTCAGTCAGGAGATAGACGATGCGTCCCAAATGGTACCTAATTTCCTATGTAGTGTACTAGCTACTTTTGACCAGAGTATTGCACTTTGGCATAGGGTGCCATTTGGGATGCACCCAGAAGATGGGGGTGGTGGGGTGGGTGGAAAATGGAGGAGACCCCTAAGAATCTATCTCCCAGCTATCACTGGCATCCTGACGATGTGGTACCACAGGACAGCTGCACCTCTCTTTCTCTGTCTCTCTCTCTCTCTCTCTGTGTGTCCATAACGTCAGATAGAGGTGGAAAGCTGTTTCAAACCAATACTATGAACACTGTTTTCTGAAAAGCCTTGTCAATGGATGACACACGTGATTTTCATAAAATGCCTTTCAGCTGTATATCCTAATAAAAGAGGAATTGCAGCGACGTTTTAGCAATCATTGCGATTAGCGGATGATGTAATCCTTGATATTTCCTCTGGTCTCTGCAACGCCTCACCCACCCTACTGTAAGTGACCGAGGCATTCCCTTGAGAGAGCACTTTCCCCGCTCCCCAGCCCCTCTGGTTTATTTTGGACTTCAGAGGGAGAGGGAGGGCTTGTCTGCTAGCACTAACCCTAGTGTGGTGGACCCAGGGTAAGGGTTAGACGGCCAATCCCTCCCTCTCTGTGTCCTTATGAAGGCAGTCCTCCAGCTTTTCATCACAGGTCTGGGATCAGCTGTAGGTGGATGATATAAAGAGGAGTAGACTGAACTGAGACAGGTATTGGGTATATCACCTGTTGTCTGTCTTTTGAGAGCCAGGAAATGAAACATTAGGCTATAGAGCTTAATCACCACGTTCAGACAGCCACTCTTCATCTTTGGCCTAGCACCGGTGACACATTTTAGCATTATAGGCTACTGCATCACCATCACAGCCTGATCACCCTGGTTCGGGCAGCCCATCCATCCTGCTGTCTGAACTGTGAAGACCAATAGGCCATTCATCTCACAGCAAGGACTTCCCTCAACAGACGCAACAATGGCCCTAATAATCAATAGAGCGGTTATCAGTGCTACCTGCTCTGCCTGGTGGCGGTCCCTTTCACCTATAACCTAGGGCTCAAAGCATGTTTCTGCACAAGCAGACAATAAAGTAGGCTAGCTCTCACTTGATCACTAAAGCATTTTTTATATGGATCATTACTAGGCTAAATGAGGGAATCTGTGGAGCCAGTTTTATTGAAATATGACCCAGACCTAGGCCTACTACTGCAATAGTGGGTACAGGGACATGGCAGATTCTTATATAGACCTACTACTGCAATAGTGGGTATGTATAGGCAATTGAGGTAAAGGTGTCTGCATGCTTCCCAGCCGAAACAGTTCAGAGGAGTTTGTGCATATATTATGACATTTTGGGACGTTTTGGATCGTTTTGGACTTCAGTGAGGGTTGTTCGGGCACACAAAATGTTTTCTAGAGGCAAAACAAAGTTCGGCGCAGAAGTCTATGCCCCTTCGTCGGTGATTGGTCAACAGTAGGGATGATTCAATATTATTTTTTGTCATTCAACGAGAGACAACTAGTATTCATGCACATTTTTTCATTGAGAAATACTGCACCAAATGTCTTAGTTAGATATAAAATTGTGCGACTAAGATCTCCTCTGCAAAAATGTCAATTTATGATAGATTTCTTGAGTTATCTCAGATTAATTCTGACTATTTTGAGGAAGTGTATACTGCCAACCAGGGCTCAATGGTCAAACCGTACTATTGCCTATTTTTTCTAGTTATTCTAGGTTCGGTTCAGCTAGCCAAGTTCAGCTAAGCGCCAGCTGAACTGAAGCATGCTGACGCCTTAACATGCCAACCAGGGCTCACCCCCGCTTAGTGTTGCAAGGTATGCCCGCCCGGCACACCTCTTAAACTGGAGCAGTGGACCCGGGACAGAAATACCATGACGTGCGACAGTCGGGCACAGAGGGCATGGAATGCCCCGGCAGGAAGACTCCAGTCCAGGGAGAGGCCAGGGAGTGATTGGTGGAGGGATAAGAGTGGAGCTTTGTGGCTGGGAAGAGGAGCTGAGGCTCCATCTTATCTAGGATGGAGTAATCACATGATGGTGTCTGACAGACTCATCTTAGTGGATCTGATAGGTGGTGGCTGAAGAACTTTGTGTGTCGCACTGTGGTTTTGTGTTGTAAAAGGCTACACGTAGGCTAGTCTACCTGCTAGTCGCTCCTTTATGCTCTATATAGAGCACACTGTTTGGTTCGGTAGCGTGTCTGTAGATGGGTTGGCATGACTGGCACGGGCCCTCCGCCCTGCTCCCCCTTCCTGTTTCTCAGCGTGCTGGCCAGTGTGGAAGGGGTGTAGAGAGTGAGGACTCAATGTTCTCCACAGAGACCCCAGACAAAGGCCTCCTTGTTGCCCCCCTCCCTGCCAGTCCCATACCACCATCCCTGCCACAGAGCCACAGCCTGAGTGGGCAGGGGGCACACACTGCCAAGCCAACCCATCTGGCCCTGCCTGCCACGTCTGATCCAGAACAGGGGCACCCAATCCCAGACAGAGGTAGCTGTTAATACATTAGGGTTTGATCAGGATGTCTAATACCTAAACCTGATCATTGAGCCTGTGTGTAATGGACCTTTTATGTGGTGCGAATGAGATCATCATGCTTCTGCTGTCAAAGAGTGTGTATGGTTACATAGCCTGGCTGCCCTACACAGATTTGTTTTATTTAATTCACTTACTTATTCATTCATTCATCCATCTATCCATCCATCTAATTGGGGGCTGGGAATTGCCAGGGACCTCACGATACAATATTATCACGATCCTTAGCTGCCGATAAGATATGTATTGTGATTCTCACGATTCTATATGTCTTGCGATTCGATATTTGGATTTGACTTTCCAAACATATTGCTCACTAACGCTTCGAACACACCGACTGCATCATTGCGTTTTGGTACACCAGAAGTACATTTAGCATGACAGAGCTCCAGAGTTCCTCTGTGGAGATGGGAGAACCTTCCAGAAGGACAACCATCTCTGCAGCACTCCACCAATCTGGCCTTTATGGTAAAGTGGCCAGACGGAAGCCACTCCTCAGTAAAAGGCACATGACAGCCCGCTTGGAGTTTGCCAAAAGGCACCTAACGGACTCTCAGACCATGAGAAACAAGGTTCTCTGGTCTAATGAAACCAAGATTGAACTCTTTGGCCTGAATGCCAAGTGTCACGTCTGGAGGAAACCTGGCACCATCCCTACGGTGAAGCATGGTGGTGGCAGCATCATGCTGTGGGGATATTTTTCAGCGGCAGGGACTGGGAGACTAGTCAGGGTTGCGGGAAAGATGAACGGAGCAAAGTACAGCGAGAGGTCCTTGATGAAAACCTGCTGCAGAGTGCTCAGGACCTCAGACTGGGGTAAAGGTTCACCTTCCAACAGGACAACGACCCTAAGCACACAGCCAAGACAACGAGAGGATCTGCAGAGAAGAATGGGAGAAACTCCCCAAATACAGGTGTGCCAAGCTTGTAGCGTCATACCCAAGAAGACTCAAGGCTGTAATTGCTGCCAAAGGTGCTTCAACAAAGTACTGAGTAAAGGGTCTGAATACGTATGTAAATGTGATATTTCAGTTTTTTATTTTTTATAAATTAGCAAACATTACTAAACCTGTTTTTGCTTTGTCATTATGGGGTATTGTGTGTAGATTGAGAGAAAAAAACAACAATGTAATAATTTTTAGAATAAGGCTGTAACGTAACAAAATGTGGAAAAAGTCAAGGGCTCTGAATACTTTCCGAATGCACTGTAACTGTATCCATTTTCCCCTAGGTATCACTAGGTACTGTAATAGCATGCATTCATTCCAGGTACTGCAGTACAGGGGTAGTTCAAATGGTTGAGTGATGACCTGCACTGGACTGTACATTATGAAACGGGTTGTTTGGATCCTGGATGCTGATTGGTTCATTGTTGTGGGACAACAACTCCCGCAAAATACCATGACGTGTTATAAACCAACCTGTCTGCCTCTACAACCTGTGCAACAATGTATCATTTTACAAATGCGATCTCTCCCGTGCCAGCAAAGAGGCAAGCACTGGCTGTCACCAACCAGCACCAGGACCATGGACAGTTCTTCCACTCGTGTGCCATCAACGGAAACGTCACTATTAACATCACCAACTAGCTTGGTTAGCTCTGACTCGCCAACCATAATAGTTGTTGCCTATGTAGCCCTATTGGATATTTATTAAATCAAGTTCTTGTCTCATCATCATTGAGTCCCTGCTAGATAGCTACATGCCAATGATTTGTTTAGCATAGCAACGTCGAAGGAATAGAAAGATTGGAAGGAACGACTGGGTCAGCAGGAGAAAATAAGTAGAAAGACCAGCCCGCTTGGGTAGCAAACTTTTTAGAATGTAAAAACTAATTTACTCCTTCAAATAATGTTTTTAATGAAAACATGTAATGAATATTTAAATATATGTTGGCAACAGTTTTATAAAAGCAATATTGCCCTCAAACCCAGGAATTATCATGTGACAACTTCGCCTCGGGCCTCAGAACAGCCCTTGTCGGGAGTTGTCACACGATAATTCCCAGGTTCTCAGGTGTTATTGCTTAAGGTACAGTAGGCTACAGCTCACTGTTCTGTCTGTATGGAATATCAGGTCTAATTTTTCTCTCACCGGCCTCGAGTCAACATAATCACCTCAGGTGAACTAAGGTAGGTTTACCCCCTTACACAGGCGGTTTTATGGATCACTAACCTTCCAAGTCAGGTTCTTCTGTTTCACTTCATCTGTGTCATTACCCTTGTTATCTACTCTGTTTCTAATGGTCAGTGGTGTCTGTGTTGTTCCAGAACTGGCCCAGGAGTCCAACCCATCAGACCATGCCCGAGCCAGCACAATCTTCCTCAGCAAGTCCCAGACAGACAGTGAATGTAAGTACTCTACTCTACCCTGCTCACAACACATCACACAGGAGAAGTGATTATGATGCCATGTTAGCCCATACGACTCTGGTCTTACGCACTTTAGCTACTTGGTAAGGTGGTAACTCACCACCACCCTCTCTCTGCTCTAGAAAGCTATGTAGAGAGATGATACTGAGGCTACTGTAAGTGACTCTAATATGGCGCTCTCATAAGCACAATGTGACTCTTCACCGTTCTTCATCATTTTCAACATGACTGTTTTTGTCTGGGTCTGACATGGCCTATTTTCTTTTTCCTTCCAGTGCGAGACAAGAGGAAAATCAATCACATAAACCATGTTAGTCATGTAAGTATTTCAATACGAAGATTTGTTTGTGTTAACAATAATGAGTTGTGTGTGTGTGTGGCTACTGTGTGGGCATGGGAGAGTTGGGTTGCGATTTATGAGAATACATCTATAATCTCACACACTCGCCTCTTAACTTGGGTCACTGGAGGACAACACCAAACTCATGCATATGCAAATGTAACTATCTGACCATCACACCTTATTGGTCACCTCTTATAGGATGTAGCCCTTTACACTTATACCCGTATATGGGTTGAAAAGGGCAGATTTGGACACTGATACGCGCCTGAATTGGAACGCAGTGAGGGAAATGCTGTCAATTACCATGTATTTTGAAAGATAAGACGTTGAAGAGTCCAAATGTGCACTTCACATTTCCATATCATAAAACTCATGTGATATACAGTGTCAACGTTTATGATCACTGTGTTTGATATACAGTTACAAGATGACATGGCGTTCTTGTCCTGAACAGAATGAGCCTATGTTGTATTGGGAAGGACCACGTATCTGAATGCACTCATGACTCCATTCTATGCGACCAAAATTACCATCTGCTTCTCTGAATTACGTTGTGAAAGCATAACACTGTAAGATCGTTTTTTATAATTTAGTTAGTCATGTTGGCAATAGAACAAGCTTTCAAATTATGCCCACCTGACCCAGATTGTGATTTATAATGGACCGTTTTTGGATTGCGTAAACAGCAACAGTAATTGTGTGATGGCGGGGATGCAGGGCTGTGTTCCATAGAAAGCAACTACCAGTGTGCTTGCTCTAGTTCCTCAACAGCACAGCTAGGAGAGCTCCGAAAAACACCTTATAGTTGAAGACTTCTTTGAGTCATAGAAATGCATTGAAATGACTTAGGAACTGTACACACCTTGGAGAGGTGGTTGGCCACTTGGAAACACCAGTTAGACCAATCACTCAAACCATTGTCATTGTTTTGTCTTATGTTGTACCTACCTCAACATTTCCAAGAATATTCTTATCATCTTACTGAATGTATCCAGAGTATTTTCAGATTTCGTTATCAACAAATGGGGCAAAATGTACAGTAAATGTAAAATGCACATCTAATCAACGGTGTAATGTTTGGATTCAGTCTTGTCAGGTAACTGTTCAATCAATTCAATCAATCAATTTTATTTTATATAGCCCTTCTTACATCAGCTAATATCTCGAAGTGCTGTACAGAAACCCAGCCTAAAACCCCAAACAGCTAGTAATGCAGGTGTAGAAGCACGGTGGCTAGGAAAAACTCCCTAGAAAGGCGAAAACCTAGGAAGAAACCTAGAGAGGAACCAGGCTATGAGGGGTGGCCAGTCCTCTTCTGGCTGTGCCGGGTGGAGATTATAACAGAACCATGCCAAGATGTTCAAAAATGTTCATAAGTGACAAGCATGGTCAAATAATAATCAGGAATAAATCTCAGTTGGCTTTTCATAGCCGATCATTAAGAGTTTGAAAACAGCAGGTCTGGGACAGGTAGGGGTTCCATAACCGCAGGCAGAACAGTTTAAACTGGAATAGCAGCAAGGCCAGGCGGACTGGGGACAGCAAGGAGTCACCACGGCCGGTAGTCCCGACGTATGGTCCTAGGGCTCAGGTCTCTCAGTTGGCTTTTCATAGCCGATCATTAAGAGTTGAAAACAGCAGGTCTGGGACAGGTAGGGGTTTCGTAGCCGCAGGCAGAACAGTTGAAACTGGAATAGCAGCAAGGCCAGGGGGACTGGGGACAGCAAGGTGTCATCATGCCCGGTAGTCCTGACGTATGGTCCTAGGGCTCAGGTTCTCAGAGAGAAAGAGAGAACGAGAGAATTAGAGAGAGCATACTTAAATTCACACAGGACACTGGATAAGACAGGAGAAGTACTCCAGGTATAACCAACTAACCCCAGCCCCCCGACACATAAACTACTGCAGCATAAATACTGGAGGCTGAGACAGGAGCGGTCCGGAGACACTGTGGCCCCATCCGAAGAGAACCCCCGGACAGGGCCAAACAGGAAGGATATAACCCCACCCACTCCGCCAAAGCACAGCCCCGCACCACTAGAGGGATATCCCCAACCACCAACTTACAATCCTGTGTGTCATGTAGCCTGTGCTTGAGGTGACCACAACAAGCTGTAGCCCCTGTGGCTGTGGGGTCCTGTCAGCTAGAAGACAAACACAGATAAACAGGAGACCTGGTATGAATGTTTTGTGAGGGTCCACTGTCCACCCTCGACTCCACCTCATCTTATTCTCTCTGTATTATAGAACACACTTCCCTGACCCAAGGCTACATAGCCCAGTTTAGCCACATTTCAAACCAAACCTTTTACCTTGGAAGTAGTTTATGAGCCAGGAGTGACTGCAACCTATTGGTGATGTCATTATTTGGCTATGGCCACCACAGGCTAGCGTTAGCATCAATTACCTCCGAAGGATTGGGTACAACAGAGCCTACATTAGCATCGTCTGACTTCCATGTCACATATTTCCTTTTGCAGACCTCTCCTGGCCCTCTCTCTAAGAAGTACAGTTCCTGTTCCACCATCTTTATAGATGACAGCACGGTCAGCCAGCCTAACTTGAAAAGCACAATAAAATGGTGGGTACCCACTACCTTCATATATGCACACACAGGAAACCTTTTCTAGTTGAACTCTGGTCTAATGAATTCTGTCTTTCTCCTCTTCCAGTGTCACATTAGCAATATACTACCACATTAAAAACAGGTGAGTGGCAGTGTTTAACTTGTTCAGTTTAAGTATGCACAGGTATTAATTTAATGGGGGATCAGAAGGTGGCCTCTGGGCCTGGCAGAATGTCTGTATTGGACTAGGGACAGTGTATTTGGTTCATAGTGGAGGCGTTCACTCTCTGTTCCTCTGTATCTCTCAGGGACTCCGACAGGTCACTGGACATTTTTGATGAGAAGATGCACCCCTTATCGGTGAGTGGGCGGATCAATTTGACCATAATCCACTCAGGGTTAACAGGAAGTGAATAGCTGTTATGTGTTTACAGGAAGTGAATAGCTTTTATGTATTGTATTCTAAAGACCTGCTGCTAATACAGGTTTACATCAAAACAGAGGTCTGCAGTAGATGTGGCAGTATTGGTTTCTCAGCCGTTGTCTACATCGATATCTGGCATCACCCAGCCTCCTCACCCCCTTCTAGACCTTCCACTGGAACTTTATATGCCCCATAGCCCAGTGTACCTCTCAGCTCCAACTTCAGCATAGCACACACCACTGCACGGGGAATGAATAAGATATAGTTTAGCTCTGGTAAGAAAGTCAACATAAACCCATTAGGAAATTTAGAAATTACTTAAATGTTTCCTTATCTTGTTGAGGGTAGTCTATGCGCTATTCAAGATTGAATGTGTGTTTTGTGTTGTATCTGGGCTGGTCTGTGTGTTGTCTCTGGGCTGGTGCGTGTGTGTTGTGTGTGTGACGTGTGTGTTGTCTGGGCTGGTGTGCGTGTGTGTGTTGTCTCTGGGCTGGTGTGTGCTGTGTTGTCTCTGGGCTGGTGTGTGTTGTGTTGTCTCTGGGCTGGTGTGTGCTGTGTTGTCTCTGGGCTGGTGTGTGTTGTGTTGTCTCTGGGCTGGTGCGTGTGTGTTGTGCGCGTGTGTGTGTTGTCTCTGGGCTGGTGCGTGTGTGTTGTGCGTGTGTGTGTGTTCTGGGTGGTGTGTGTGTGTTGTCTCTGGGCTGGTGTGTGCTGTGTTGTTCTGGGCTGGTGTGTGCTGTGTTGTCTTGGCTGTGTGTGTGTGTTGTCTGGGCTGGTTTGTGTGTTGTCTCTGGGCTGGTGTGTGTTGTGTTGTCTCTGGGCTGGTGCGTGTGTGTTGTGCGCGTGTGTGTGTTGTCTCTGGGCTGGTGTGTGTGTGTTGTCTCTGGGCTGGTGTGTGCTGTGTTGTCTCTGGGCTGGTGTGTGCTGTGTTGTCTCTGGGCTGGTGTGTGTGTGTTGTCTCTGGGCTGGTGTGTGCTGTGTTGTCTCTGGGCTGGTGTGTGTGTGTTGTCTCTGGGCTGGTGCGTGTGTGTTGTGCGCGTGTGTGTGTTGTCTCTGGGCTGGTGTGTGCTGTGTTGTCTCTCTGGGCTGGTGTGTGCTGTGTTGTCTCTGGGCTGGTGTGTGTTGTGTTGTCTCTGGGCTGGTGTGTGTTGTGTTGTCTCTGGGCTGGTGTGTGCTGTGTTGTCTCTGGGCTGGTGTGTGTTGTGTTGTCTCTGGGCTGGTGTGTGTTGTGTTGTCTCTGGGCTGGTGTGTGCTGTGTTGTCTCTGGGCTGGTGTGTGTTGTGTTGTCTCTGGGCTGGTGTGTGCTGTGTTGTCTCTGGGCTGGTGTGGTGTTGTGTTGTCTCTGGGCTGGTGTGTGTTGTGTTGTCTCTGGGCTGGTGTGTGCTGTGTTGTCTCTGGGCTGGTGTGTGCTGTGTTGTCTCTGGGCTGGTGTGTGTTGTGTTGTCTCTGTGTCTAACACTGTCTTCTTCCTTCAGAGAGAGCAGGTTCCTGATGACTACTCTCGTACGGACCCTGAGCACAAACTCATCTACCGCTTTGTCAGAACTCTGTTCAGCGCTGCACAGCTCACTGCGGAGTGTGCCATCGTCACCTTGGTGAGGGGTCCAGTCCAGTCAGCAACCATACACCCCTAATCAAAACACGCGTATCAGCAGTTAATACATGGTTAATCAACTGATATGAAACCATACAGTAGATGTATTGTAGCTCAGCTGGTAGAGCATGGTGCTTGTAATGCCAGGGTAGTGGGTTTGATTCCCGGGACCACCCATACGTAAAATGAATGTACGCATGACTGAAGTCGCTTTGGATGAAAGCGTCTGCTAAATGGCATTTGTTATTATCATATACTGTATTATCCACTAGGTATTGTGGTGTTGTATTAACCTACATGATACGGTAGATGCGTTGTATTAACCTACATGATACGGTAGATGCGTTGTATTAACCTACATGATACGGTAGATGTATTGTGGTGTTGTATTAACCTACATGATACGGTAGATGTATTGTGGTGTTGTATTAACCTACATGATACGGTAGATGTATTGTGGTGTTGTATTAACCTACATGATACGGTAGATGTATTGTGGTGTTGTATTAACCTACATGATACGGTAGATGTATTGTGGTGTTGTATTAACCTGTATCTGCACTAATGTACCACTAGGGTGCAGCAGAGTAATAGAAACCATTGACGAAGCACAGCAAGTCACATGAACAGAGTCTCAATGTGAACAGACAGTAGACCTGTATTTGATGATTACAATATGATTGGGCCTAATATATCAAGCATGCCTTATTTATTGGACTCCAAACATAACAAAGTACTATTTCTCACATGTGTGTATAATCAATAATATGCCCTTTTTCCTACAGATTTTCTATGTTGTATACATCACATTTCTGAATGGAAATAACCACCTCAGTTTTTTAGCACATGATCACTTTAAGACTTCTAACCTTCAACCCCACCAGGTGTACCTGGAGCGTCTGCTGACCTACGCTGAGATAGACATCGGTCCGTGCAACTGGAAGCGTATCGTACTGGGCGCCATCCTGCTGGCGTCTAAGGTGTGGGACGACCAGGCCGTGTGGAATGTAGACTACTGCCAGATCCTCAAAGACATCACTGTGGAGGACATGTGAGTGGACAGGACACACACACTGGAGACACACTCAAAATAGATACCCTTTTCTCACTATTGTGTCAACCTTTACTGTTCAGTTTCAGATATGTTCTGTTCACTTTGAAGGAGGAGGCTGATTGGTAGTCATTGATGGAGAAGGAGGAGGCTGATTGGTAGTCATTGATGGAGAAGGAGGAGGCTGATTGGTAGTCATTGATGGAGAAGGAGGAGGCTGATTGGTAGTCATTGATGGAGAAGGAGGAGGCTGATTGGTAGTCATTGATGGAGAAGGAGGAGGCTGATTGGTAGTCATTGATGGAGAAGGAGGAGGCTGATTGGTAGTCATTGAAGGAGAAGGAGGAGGCTGATTGGTAGTCATTGAAGGAGAAGGAGGAGGCTGATTGGTAGTCATTGAAGGAGGAGGCTGATTGGTAGTCATTAAAGGAGGAGGCTGATTGGTAGTCATTGAAGGAGGAGGCTGATTGGTAGTCATTGAAGGAGGAGGCTGATTGGTAGTCATTGAAGGATGAGGAGGAGGAGGCTGATTGGTAGTCATTGAAGGATGAGGAGGAGGAGGCTGATTGGTAGTCATTGAAGGATGAGGAGGAGGAGGCTGATTGGTAGTCATTGAAGGAGGCTAATTCATAGTCATACTTTTATGATTCATCATGTCCATGTTTCAGGTGGAGAACAGACGTAGACCGGAGCCTTCTTCCCCCCTGGTCTGATGATCATTCATTAGGCTGTTGTCTATAGACTGGTACAGTAGTCCTATCCAGTCTCTAGCTCTGATCAGGGCTGTGTGAGATGAGGGCCCTGCTTTGGGCTCCAAAGGAGTGAGGACTAGACCCAGAGAGAGAGAGCGAGGGACATTGAGGGAGGCGGAGTACTGGTTGTATACAGGAGGCAATCTCCAAGCCATTAGTAGGCTTCTCCTTACTACACTACTGCCTTACATTCTAGTAGCTTTTAGAGTGGGCTGGGGTTGAGTCTTTTGTATGTCTATTAAGTTTGTTTGTTTGAGAGTGTACACGTGCCAAAAGGTCAAATAGGGGGTGCTTATATTTGTCCTGTTTCACACATGACAGTGTTGTGAAATAGAAATGTGTGTTTTGCATATCCCAACTCCTCCTTAGACACCCTTGGAGAGTGGGGGCACGTCCAGGGTCAGCCATTATTGACGGCAACCCAGGAGCAATTAGGGTTAAGTGCCTTGCTCAAGGGCAGATATATAAAAAAAACACGTATACCTAGTCGGCTCGGGAATTCGAACTACGGCTACTGGCCCAACGCTCTAACCTCTAGACTACCTGCCACTCTGTGAGTGTGTGCTCTGTCTGTCTGTCTGTCTGTCTGTCTGTCTGTCTGTCTATGAGCCCATGTTCCTCCCTCTCTCTTCTCTCGATCTGCAGTCTATTTTCATCTCTTCCATTGAAGTGCTCTTTGTGAGCTGGGGGGTCTGGAGTGGCTCTCAGCGCTCCTACATAATGGCCGTAGCCCTCTCCCACTCCATTAGTTACCCTGGGAGACCAGCCTTCCAACACACACACACACACACACGCACACACACACCCCAGCCTCCAGCCACCCTGGCCCTCTCATGTCTCCTTTCCGACAAAGCATCCTTGATGCTGTCTCTGTGGTGACCGACCGGCATGCAGCTCTTTTGTCATCGTGGCGATAAGGATGATGAGATGGATCTGTACAGGAGAGACATGATATACCTGAAGCAAGCCGCTCTGTCAGAGAGCCAGTATGGGTCTTCATTATAGTGACAATAAAGGCTCAAGTTGTTGTGTGTTGAGTTGTATTTATTGTGGTGGTTTAGTTTTTTTTAATGTAATTCCTGTTTATGTCCTTTTGGGGGGGGAAAAAGCAACAAAAAAAAGGTATCCTTGCAAAAAAGTATATATTTTGAATAATAAAGAAACAATTTATGAATACAAATATAGTTTAGTCTCCCGAATGTGGGGGGTGGAGATGGGTTGAATAGCCCCCCTGCAGACATGTACCCTTCTCCTTGCTGCCGTAAGGGAAAGACAAGTGGAGTTTTAATTTGCTATTGATTAGACTCTCGCCCTATGAGGGCTGGCCTGTGGATGACGTTACTCCTATCACTGATCTAAGGTCCATTTGACATTTCTCCCCCACTCATTGTCAGGGTTTCATTTGGGGAGGTTGTTCCTAGATCTGTGCCTAAGAGCAGTCTATATTAACCCTGTTTAATCTGCTCTCCCTTTGTCAGGAACGAGATGGAGCGTCACTTCCTGGAGCTGCTGCAGTTCAACATCAACGTCCCGGCCAGTGTTTACGCTAAGTACTACTTTGACCTGCGATCTCTGGCCGAGGACAACAACCTCTGCTTTCCCCTCGAGCCACTCGGCAACGAGAGGGCACAGAAACTGGAGGTAAGGTAGTTGTAGAGGGGTATGATGGAGCTTACAGGTATCAGTAGAGGTGGGAGAATGCATCTAGTAGCAGAAAAGATGGCAGCTGAGACGGAGAGCAAGACATGGGAATAGTCAAAGGGGGAAAGTGTTGGAATTCACCAGTGCATTAGGGATGAAGCCAATGAGCCTGTGCGTTGTGTGTTTTCCAGGCCATCTCCAGACTGTGTGAAGACAAGTACAAGGACCTGAGCCGAGCGGCCATGAGGAGGTCCTTCAGCGCTGACAACCTGGTGGGCATCCGCCGCTCCAACGCTGTGCTCTCATAGGCCAGCCACACTTCATCGCTGTTCTCTCATTAGTCAGCGACACGTCACTCCCAACACTGTTCTCTCATTGGATAGCCACACTCCCAACATTGTGCTTTCACTTGACAGACACAATGGTCGAGTTCGTTTCGCATGGCCCTGTGCCCCGGGTGGGTAGAGTTTGCTCATTTTAGACTATTCCATTGGTCCTTGAGTGAAATCTCCACCCACCCGGAGCACCGAGCCATGCAAAATGAACTCCACCAATATCTGACCTCTACAGCCCAACCAACACTCCCAGGATACCCGCCCCAAACCCTCTTACAAACCCCTCTGAGAGACTGGTCATGGGCAGCACCATAGGCCCACTCTCCCCTGCCTGTCTCAGACCTTGTGTGCAAAATCACTTCTTGACTACATAGAGAGAAAAAAGACTCTGGGTTTTTTTGGTATATATTTTGTTGTTTTTTTGCTTACTATGTAGGCTACTAGCTGTAAAATGTACCTGTTTTTAAATTGAAAAGAATTTGCAGATGGAGTATTTTAAATAAACACTAATCATGTAACAAATCCTAGTGGCTTTCATTGGAGTGGAGATGAGAACCTACAAGTGTGGCAGCGCATTGTAAACATTTATATTTTACTTTAGACATTAAATGACATACTCAGAAACAGATTGGTCCACAGTTTTATTCTCTAGCAGTCAGAGATAAATGAAACCCAAGATTAGGGGAGAACTGCATCTTCATAAATATTTAGAAAAAAATCTTTATTGTAAAGTCTCAGCAATGAATTTGCCACATTTCATGTCCTTGAATGTAGTACACATAAAGCTGCAGTCCAGACTACTGAAGGACGCCAAAGCAGACTTACAAATTATGGGGTACAACACTCTCTCTCTCACACACACAACTCTCTCTCACACACACACACACACAGGGAATGTCAGGAAACAGGCTAATAAATGAAACAGACACTGGACCATTTACACACTAGTCTGGTTAGAAAAACACTGAAGCACAACAAAGTAGAAAGGCAGAAAACAGCAACTGGTTTTGGTTCACCCAGAGTTGAACCATGTTCTAGTCTAGCTGTCCACCACAGTTCCTACAGCCAGTATATCCCTTGTGAGAAGACAGTTTTTTATGTGTAGGCCGGTAATTGAAAAGAAATGTTTTGACCATTTTTTAAACATTTGACTCAACGTGAGTGCTGACGCTGTCATTGAAAATGTATGCAGAGCCGTAGGAGATGTATCCAAGGGTTCAGTCCAGTTTCCAGGCGATCGATACCTGTATGTTTACCATTGGGTTGGTGTGAACAGGTCCAGTGTGTACCACTAGGGGGTGTAACACACAGACAACCAGGTGCACTTCCTCCATCCCTTTTCTTCTGGCCCTTGATACAGATCACTGATCTGACAAACAGATAGTAGTCCCTCCAAACCGCTTTAAAACATGTTCAATATCATGGCTATTCCAAAGCACTAAACTCACTACAGCGGTTATCATCGAGCATGTGTTTTATAGAGGCTACTTTTGACATTGATTTCTAAAAGAAAATACTGGTTGAGAAAAGGATAGACTATAACTTGTTTACTGATACACTTGTAGGCTACACATCCATTTTCAGATTACCTCTTTGGAAGCTGATTTAACCATAGGTCCAGTCCAGAAACTGATCAACAGTTGGGCTAGAGATCCTCATCCTACTGTCATGCTGACCGGCTAGGGTGTTCACAGACCAGTCAGTCAACCAAGCTGGATTTTACCGGGCAGAATAGGGTAAAAAGATTGTGTGTATTGGTACATACTGGATTAATTCAACTCGAGCAGCATGCAAACACATCCATACCACACATTTACTAGATTCATACAGAATATTGTGATTCAAATCACATCACTGGGGATCGCAAAGAAGCACATTAAATATTTTCATTGTGTTCCTAGAGTTGTTTTGTTCTCACCCATTACGGACCCAGTGTCCACACTGAATAATACCCTGGATAATGGGGGCATTCTGGGCCAGCTCAATCCATAGTCTTTTATAGAGCATCATATATACAGGAATAAATAGTGAGTCTCATCTCTAATGGTCCAGATAGATGTACAGGAGTACAGATGTGCAGGTTATATGTCCATCAACAGTCCGATGAGAACACATCTCCCTTTTTCCCCTCTCAGAGAATGTTCTAGTGCCCTCAAACTAAACTCTGGACCTCGAAGCAAGTGTCACTGCGTTTTTTTCATTGTTGCCCTCTAATCAGGAACTGATATAGACCTGGGACACCAGGTGGGTGCAATTAATGATCAGGTAGAACAGAAAACCAGCAGGCTTCGTGCCTCGTAGGGTAAGAGTTGAATACCCCTGTGGGTCTGTTGAAGTAGTTGTAAAGCAGCAATGCGCACCAGTTGTACCAAAGAGCTCATATGATACAAACGTCCCATTTCTTTCAAAGAAATTCACATTGGGATTTCTACAATATCCCTCTTTTCTTTTCGGTTTAAAACACATTTTTTCCTGTTCTGTGTTCCAAGAAGAGAGTCAGTGAGGCAGGTTTGTCGATAACTGTTGTATTTGCAACCTGTGGAATGACTTGGTTATCTCCTCCTCGTCCTCTGACCCTTTTGCTTCCAGAGAACTGCGTGGTGCTTTATCACATTCACCATCTTGTCCAATGTCCAGGTGAAGCCCGTTCTCATATGACAGGGAGGCTATCACTGGACACATGGCATTAGGGGCTCCTCTACCCTCTGAGGTCCCATTCACACGTGTGAGGGCGGGGCATGTTTGTGGTAGGACCCTGGTGGAAGAGCAGCCCCGGGGTGTCCCGTGAGGGCAGTGCTGGCCTCGATGTACATGGAGGGGGGCACGGTGAGCATGGAGACCCAACAGGGGCAGCAGCGAGCAGTAAACCTCCTCCACGACTCCAGGGTCTTCCCAGACCAGATCCACACCCCCGACGTGATGCCCACCACCAGACACATGAAGTATTTCAACATAAAGACGGCGTAGTCTGGCCCCAGGCCCAGCCTCTGTCTCTCAGCCTGACAGGAGCAGGATAGAGCCTGGTCCCAGCCAGGCCTGTAGTGCTGTTCGTACACCAGGCAGGCTACTACTATAGTAGCAGGAACTGTGTAAAGCACCGTAAACAACCCAATCCGGATCATCAGCTTCTCCAGTTTATCTGTTTTGGTCCCTCCCTGTTTGATGATGCTGCGGATGCGGAACAGAGACACAAAGCCCGCTAGGAGGAACAGGGAGCCGGTGAAGAGGTAGACCACAAGGGGAGCTAACACAAACCCTCTCAGGCTCTCCAGACTCTGGTTCCCCACGTAGCAGATCCCTGCCACCGGGTCTCCGTCCACAGAGCTCAGAGCGAGGACCGCAATGGACTTGACACTGGGAATCAGCCAGGCAGCCAAGTGGAAGTACTGGGAGTAGCCAGCGATGGCCTCGTTGCCCCACTTCATTCCCGCGGCCAGGAACCAGGTCAGGGAGAGCACCACCCACCAGATAGAGCTGGACATGCTGAAGAAGTAGATGAGCAGGAAGACCAGGGTACACAGGGCGGGGCCCGTGGTGTCATACAGGATGTGCTTCTGGTCTCCGCTCCCAGCGCACGCCACCCTCTCGTGACCCGCCACTAGTCGTATAATGTAGCCCAGGGAGACAAAGAGATAGCAGGCAGCCAGGAAGATGATGGGTCTCTCGGGGTACTGGAAGCGCTCCATGTCGATGAGGAAGGTTGCCACCGTGGTCAGGGTGGAGATGAAGCACAGGACGGACCACAGGCCGATCCAAAAGGTGGTGAAGGTGCGTTCGTCCTGGGAGAAGTAAGGGTGGTGGCAGGGCTGGGCACAGTTATCCACAGGGCCAGTGTGGACCCGGTTGTATAAGGGGTGGGTGTCTTTTTTGATGGGCACCAGAGGGTCCCGACAGCGGCAGTCCCGGTCACACTCCTGTGGGGCGGGGGGCTTGGGGGCAGGCTGCCTGCGGCGGGTGCCCTTGGGGGTGGGTTTGGGGAAGGGAGGGGAGAGGGTGGTGGTCTCACTACTGTTCTGGTCCATACACAGAGTCTCGTCTCCCAGCTGAGGCAGCTGCTCACAACTCATCCTCTCTGGCCACTCAAAACCGTACTGGATCATGAGGGGGGAGCAGCCTCGCTTGGCCCGCTCACACACAGAGCGGCAGGGGGGCAGGGGCTTCTTGTAGTCCTGCAGACAGATAGGGGTGTACATGGAACACAGGAAAAAGAGCAGGTCTGGGGAGCAGCGGATGCGGACCAAGGGCCAGAACTGATGGACCTCCAGCCCCACCTCCTCCTGGCTGTCGTGGTTGAACTGGTTGGGCATGTAGGTGAGGTTGTACCCGATGCCCTTACACATGGGAACCGTGATGGGCTCGCACACTATGTCCTTGGAGGCGGCGTGCGCGAGCGGGGGCAGCTGGGAGAGGAGCAGCGCGAGCAGCCAGCGGACGACACCACACAGCGGGGGTTTGACTGTGGTCGCCATGGGGAAGTGGGATATTTCCTTTAAAAATATATAGGTAGAAAAATGACAGGAATTGCGCTGTGGACTTTAGTATTTTCTAAGCTCAGGCTTTCCTTTCATTTATGACTGCATCTCCGAAATATGAAATCCCAGGAGAGCGTAATTGCTCCAACAGTCCTCTGTTCTATAAATCACAGACAAGTTTCATTCCAGACTGCAGGTTGCGGATTCTCTTCCAACAGCATGAACCATGGTGATTATAAATGCAGCAGCCAAGATCCGAAAACCCCTGAAATATAGTGCCAGTGTTTTATCCAATAAATCTTGTGAGGATTTCGGAAGATGGCCTATGAACACCAAGTCGACCGAGGCTCTAAAGAGGTTGCATTCAATTGTAAATCATTCACCAAGCTTTACAATTACTTGAGTTGAAAATTAATTTCCCTTTTCCTTGCATTTCGAGCACGCGGCAATAAATGTAACAACTGTAACCATAGGCTTAAGCCAGAAACAATTTCCTATTTCTCCAGTTTGTATTCCGCATGACAGGTGAAGTCACCCGTGCCTTGATAAGAGGAACCCCTCTCACCGCGTCTCTGTGAACAATAAAAGCACTTGGAAGCAAAACTGTTTTGAAAATAATCTAAATGTTTCTCTCCTTTATGGTGCGTAAAACGCCCCAAGCGTTTAATTTAAAATCCAGATTACAATCCAATAAAAACAGAATCCACTCTTCATGCAGCCGCTCTCGGGGTCTGAACCTCAGGGTAGAAAACAGGTTTCGGATAAACGTCCACTTGCTCTACTCTCTTTCCAAAGTTTGGGAAACTCGTTACGCTTTTCTTTGTCCAACCAAATGTATCACTTGGACAACCACTGAGCCGTTTTATTCAAAACTTCAGCACTTGTTTTCCAAACTTGTCTCCAATGATATTAACAGGTGTCGCGCTACACATCTCAAAGTGCTTGAGCCGAAAT